GCGGCGATGGTAGGGTTCTGAGTTCCTTGTGGTATGGCGGCGATGGTAGGGTTCTGAGTGCCTTGTGGTATGGCGGCGATGGTAGGGTTCTGAGTGCCTTGTGGTATGGCGGCCATAGTAGGGTTCTGGGTGCCTTGCGGTATGGCTACGATGGTAGGGTTCTGAGTGCCTTGCGGTATGGTGGCGATGATAGGACTGTATGCGCCTTGTTGTATGGCGGCAATGGCAGCGTTAGTAGTGCATATATTGCTGTACGGCATTGGGGTGGTAGGGGTTCCTAAATTGCTATACTGCGCAGTGGGAGTACCAGTGCTAAAGTTCCCGTATCCCATGGGTTTCGTTATTACACTCACATTGCTGTAAGGCGTAGGTATACTACCGTCGACGTGAACATTGCTGTACTGTAAGGGATAATTGATGTCATTAAAAGTGTTGTAAGGCGTAGCGGGGGTGCTAGCACTGAGGGGGTCATGTGGCATGGGTGGGTTACTCGCGTTAAGGGTGTCATGGGGCATGTCTGGGTTATTAGCAGTATAAAGGTCAATTATCTGCGGAGGTTGATAACCTGTATCATTATCGCGAGATTTATTTCTCATGGAACATTTTTTTAAATTCTTATACAATTCTAGGAATGATTCATATCTATTTTCTCTGGTAATTTTATTCCATAAGCAAATTCTGTCTTGGATAAAATACTCGAAATCTTCAGCAGAGTGACGTTTTTTTTGCATCAGGAACTGATTGAAGTCAGAACGATCGCGAAGATCAAATCGGTTCATTACTTTGTTCAGTTTATTATTCACATGGGTTAAATATTTGGATCGTCTTTCATTTGGCAAATTAAATTGAGCTGCTAACATGAAAGATAATTGGGAAATGGCTTCCTTCATGAAGAGGAAATTCTGCTTCTGTTCATTACATAAGTCCAAAAAGATTTCCGTCATGTATTTTTTAGTCAGCATGGGCCCAGTTGCGAAAATGCGTTTCTTCATTTCTTTCGTAAAATATAGATAGGTGCTCGTGCTGTAGAAGAAAAATTCTATTTTTTCCTCAGGCGTAAGGGTTTTGCAGGACGTAAAATCTATTATTGTGTTTGGCTTCTTCGTGCTTCCGTAAACACCGTACTGTATTTCTGGATCGTTTGGGTAATATGCATCATATGGATCGTTTGGGTAATATGCATCATGTGGATCGTCGGGATCGTAGGGGTCATGTGGATCATCAGGATCGTAGGGGTCATTTGGATCGTCAGGATCGTAGGGGTCATTTGGATCGTAAGGATCGTAGGGGTCATTTGGATCGTCAAGATCGTAGGGGTCATTTGGATCGTCAGAATTGTAGGGGTCATTTGGTCCCTGGGGGTCATACGGATCATGTGGATCCTCCGGATGGTAGGGATCATGTGTATCGTCCGATTCGTATGGGTCGTGTGGATAATAAGGATCGTCTGGGTCAGGTGGATCATCAGGATCGTATTGATCAAGTGAACCGAGGGAAGCAGACGCGTCGTCTGGATTAGACGCGTGAGGTGGCTGATGAAAATCATGTGGGTAATGCATATGAGGGGGGAGCGGATTTTGAGGGGGGAGAGGGTTCTGAGGGGGGAGAGGGT